ACACTTATTGTATTGGACAGCATAGGTCTACAATATTCCAACAGTGTCATTCCATTTTCACATTATCGGTCATCCCAGTCTGTAGTCAAGTGTATTCTTCTTCTACTCCACCTCTTCTTGTTAAAAAGGACATTCAATATATACTGCAAAAAATTTTAATGAACACACAGCTGGCAGGTTTTCTCACCTAACTAGCAGTATAAGTAGTATTCATTCAGTAAAGGACATAGTACTGACCTCAAGAAAAAGAAGCCACACAGATAGCAAGAGGCAAGAAGACAAAGGGATACCATTTTAAGTTAGGCAAAAGAAATCCTGCTGGGATTTAAAGAAAACAGAAGCCTCTTCAATAGTTCCTAACGTAGCATGATGAAGGTAAAAACATGTAGCTTTCACTAAATTCCTATACCACTAAATCTATCCAGATTAAAAAAAGGGTCTTACGATACTCTAAAATTTTAAGAAACATTTTTGCTAATCCACAGCACTACCTTAAATGAGACCTACCATACAAGCTTATCGAGCCATAACCAAATACTCTTATGCTATTATCTTGTTGCAGATTACCACACCAAGCCATTTCAACAGCTTAATTTGCCCAAACATATAAAATTAATTTATGATCCACTGGTTATAAAAGCTCCAGGATTTATCATCTAGATGCCCGGTAACCCAAAGTATCCAGATATCAATTTCTAAGTCCTGCAGATGGCTCTAAGATCACAAACCTCACTTATTATTTTATTTGTTCTCTATTAAACACTCCGCACACCTAGCAGAGATGCTCCTATTTTCCACATTATTTTCTACCACTGTGCCTGCTTTCCGTGAGTCAGATTTTAGATGCTTCCAAGGGCTGAGGATGCAGGGTAGGAAGCTCAGCAATTATAGCCCGCGCACTAGGAAAACAGAACATGAATACACTAGTTCTCTAGACTTAAAAGATGAAAAGAGTTTACTTATCAGTGACTTGGTGAACACTGGGTGATTTCTGCCACTTCAGATCAGTGGCTACAATAAGCAGCACCATCACCGTCAAGGGAGACTAAACCTGACAGCCATGACCAAGTATTTTTGAAAGAGGGATAGCTAAAACTGTTGCCCTGGCTAGGTTTATTATATCTTCCTAGGTGATAAACTCAAATGCATATAGAGGCCAGGCAGGAGGACAAATCAGCAGGAGAAAACTAAGCCTGACAGACTGTGGTAAATAGACTATATGTCCCATTTCTAGGTGGTAATAATATTCATGGCCAGCTGAATTTTTATTTATATTAGACTGTAGGCCCTAAACCAGCGGTTCTCAACCTTCCTAATGCCGCGACCCCTTAATACAGTTCCTCATGTTGTGGTGACCCCCAACCATAAAATTATTTTCGTTGCTACACTGTAACTGTAATTTTGCTACTGTTATGAATCGTAATGTAAATATCTTTTTGTTTTCCGATGGTCTTAGGTGACCCCTGTGAAAGGGTTGTTCGACCCCTAAAGGGGTCGCGACCCACAGGTTGAGAACCGCTGCCCTAAACCTAAAATTCGAATCTTAAAAAAAAAAAAATTTTTTTTAAAGATTTTATTGGGGAATCGGGGAAGGGGAACAGACAAGTTGCTGTCCTTTTGTTCTTCAGTCTAGTTGTAGAGGACGCTGCTTCACTGGCCCATGTTGGTATTATCACTGCGCTCTTCCTGGCTGAGGCAGTCGGTCGCCAGCCGTTTATGCTGGCTGCTGGCCACTCATGGCAGCCCAGCTCCAGGTTGAGCTGTTGTTCACCATCTTAGCTGTAGAGGGTGCAGCATCACTGGCCCTCATGTGGGACCGAACAGGTGGCCCTGCTGCTCAGAGCTCCTGCTCCCAAGCCAACTCAACCAACTAAGCCAGTTGGCCAGGCCTAATCTGGGTATTTTTGGTGTTACCGCCTGAATTTTAAATGTCAGTAATTAATTTCAATTCTTTTAAAGATACCGTTATTGTCCAAACAAAACACCTAGGGGAAAACTTCACTACTAAGTCACCAGTTTGTGACCTCTGCTTTATTAGATTCTATTGGCTCCAAATTCCTTACCTACCCCCCAAACCTTATAATGATTAATTAGCATTTTAAGTACTCTGCAGAACAGAAAAAAATGACTATTCTGGTCATGATAAAAGATGCATGTCTCATTGAAAAATAGTTACTGATTTATGCCAACCTTCTTAGTTTGGTGAGCATGGATTAATCCACAACAGCTGGAAGCAAAAGACAAAACCAGGTTTCTAGTTTAAAAAAGCAGAGATTCAAACCTTGAAATCACTGACCCTGTGGCATCCTTCTAATGATCCTTCTTGTGAATGAAGTTTTTCATAATAAAATGCAAAATAACTTTTAGGGGTTAATAAACCTCTCTAGCCACATAATCCAATTATTTTTCACAGACTCAGCACACAAAGAATAACAATGAATTTCTCAGAATTCCTAGATTTCATAGCCTAACAAAATAAAATAAAAATTTTTGCTGTTTTGGGCTGGCCGAGTGGCGTGTTGGTTAAGAGTTGGCTTGGGACGCCAGCTCTAAGCAGCTGGGCCCTGGTTCGGATCTCACCTGAGGGCGAGTGATGCTGCACCCTCTACAGCTAAGATGGTGAACAGCTTGACCTGGAGCTGGGCTGCCATGAGTCGCCAGTGACAGTGTAGGCTGCAGTGGGCTCCGGTAAGCTACGGTGAGCAGCCGTCCAGTGGCCGCCGACCAATCACCTCACCCAGGAAGAGCGCAATAATACCAACATGGGCCAGTGAAGCGATGTCCTCCACAACCGGACTGAAGAACAAAAGGACAACAACTTGTCTGTTCCCCTTCCCCCGATTCCCCAACGCTGTTCCCCTCCCCCAATTCCCCAATAAAACCTTTAAAAAAGAATTTTTTTTTTCTCTTTTAAAAACTCTGTATCCTCTTATTTACCACCTTTTATACAATAGGACTATCAGGAAAAAAACCTTTAAAATTAATTCTAACAAGACTGTACCAATGATTATAATACACAATAATTTAGATTGAGATATTTACAATGAAAATAAATTTCTTTAAATGCAAAAAATTTACATAAAAACCTTTTACTTTAATTATAAAAATCATGTGAACCTAGAACACATAGTCATAGAACCTCAAGTCACGGCAATCATCCCAAACACTGCATCTACTCCTTTACAGAGAAACAGCACGTGTGTGTCACACACACACACACACTCAGGTGTCTCCAGCCCCGCCTATGTACTGAATGACTATTTCCCAGAAGTATAGTTCTTTAAGATATTTAAGGCAAACCTCTTCTGGACTTAATTGCAGTCAGATTTTAGTGTCTTATTCAAAAGTCTCAGAATCATTTAAATGACCACTTTAGAAATATAAAGCACATTTGAACCAGTTAATATGACAAAATAGGTGAAGTCTGGACAGTCCAAACAAAGGATCAAAGGCCAATTTACATTTAACTTGTCTTGGAAGATGACCAGTTGAGTTGATTGCAGGTCAGAACAGAGATATTCAAGTAATGACATCTCATAAAAATTTAGAGTATGAACTACTCTTTCATCTTGGAGATCAATGGTCACTTCAAAAATATTACAAACTATGTCCATTTAACAAAATACAGCAAGAGAATGCTACAATATTTAAAACACACAGACTACATTCTAATCACTGAAAAGGCTGCGAATTAATTACCTTCTGTGCACACCAGATATCCTATGATTACACTGTGTCAAGATTAAAAGCAATGTTTTTCAAGGTATGACCCACAAGCCATAATAACCTGGAATTCTTGTTAAAAATGTACCCCAGACCAACTCAATGAATCCAAGATGGGAAAGAAAAGTGGAGGAATTTGCATTTTAACACCCTTCCAAAGTAAGCACACTTAAATTCAAAAAGCACTGTTTTAAGGATTAGGCAGTCAGATGGAAATACTAACTTAAATGCTAACAAATTCAGAGATCAATCAACTAAAAAGTGGTCAAATACAAGTACCAAAGCATCCCCTTCCTTCCTCACTAGTAACCCATCATCAAAAAACTGGTGAAAAATGTAGCCTTGGCCTGTCAGGAAGGCAGTGTAAGAACAGATGGAAAATTCCTAAAGATTTTGGAAGAAACAAAATATGTCCCCACAACTGCAAATGTTGTAAAACAGACCATCAGATGCTTACAATCTCTTTGCCCCTCCCCCACAATACTTGAGCAATGAACAGTTTTTCATCAACCCATTATGTCTCTCTTTAAGCTTGATCTTGCCCTTTTAGTTTCCTGCAGTACAGTCTATTTCACAAACATTTAGTATTACTTTTTACTTGTTAAGTGTTTTTTTCTAAACATCTAGTTGTTTAATGCTTTCGAAAGTAAGAATGTAAGAAAATGCTGAGACGACTGCATCACACCTGTAAGGCCAATATTACTATCAGCATCCACGGTGTGTCTAAACCCATGGAACTGCACTACTAGCTTTGGCAGCCATCTTGAAAATGATGCCCGGCTCACAAGGGAGACCATGAAGAGTGCTGTGCATAAACTGCACCTTACCATCGCTATTACAAACAACTCTACGCGTTAATCCTAAAAACGCAGTTTGTAACTTTGCCTTCAAATACAAAGAACAACGTTATCACGGACCTATATACTATCAGTGGGTCACATTTTCAAATACCAATTTCAGTAACGTAGAAGATGTCAAGGATAAAAAATGTGGTGGGCCCCGAGTCTAACAGCATGATACCGGATTTTAGTTTTCTCGGTTTGCACTGTTAGGAGAAGGCTCGCTAAATCCACCCGCCTTTTAAGTTTGCTTTAGATGAATATTCAAGATGCAAAACAAAGACAATCTCTAGACCCACTAATTTCTTCAGTCATCAAGGAAAACAAAAATCCCATTAACACATCAGAGGGAGCAACCTACGCATGCTTAAACCCCCCCAAATCCGCAAAGCCTGCAGCTTCGAGCAGAACATGCAAGAGGTAGGACGGTCAGCTCACCTGTTGATGAAACCATATCCGTTTCTTACATTGAACCATTTTACTGTTCCCAAAACCTTCGTTGCTGGAGGAAGAGAAAAAAAAACCCCACGATTACCAGACATCCTTTTTTAAAACCGCCACGCTTCAGCATCCAGTCCCTCATGCGTTTCCCCACGGCGGCCCGCGGCCACCTGACAGCCATTCTCTTCAGAGCCACCTAGCCCGGCCGCGCTCCGGCCCCTACCGCGCCTCCGCGGTCCACGTGGGTGAGCTCAAGGCCGTCGGGGCCAGGGTCGCGGGCCCAAGCTGGGTGCGCGCGTAGACAGCCGGCGGCGGGCGCGGCTGCAGGGAGGAGAGCACGTGAGGGAAGGGGAAGCGGCCCGGCCCACTCCGGCCTGCGTAGGCGACTCGCCGCGCCCTCAGGGTACACGCGGAAGGGAGAGGGTGGGGGACGAAACAACGGCGTGCGGGCCCCCGCGCACGCGGCCAGCGGGGAGGGAAAAGACCCTGCAGCACACGCGGTCGACTACGCGCGGCTGCCCGGGGGGAGGGGCTCGCGGCTGCGCGGGGTCCACAGGGGCGCGGGAGGAGGCGCGTACGCGCCTGCCGGGCACGCGGGCCGGCGTCCGCGAGGGCGCGGGCCTGGGGGAGGGGCAGCCGCGCCGCGGAATCGGTCCCCGCCGGCCGCGCGCCCGCCGGCTCGCCCC